TTCTGTCGACTTCCCCATGTCCCCCCGCGATGCGCTACCGCAAATCCCATAACCGCCACACGTAGCTGCAGATTGGAAAATAGATTGTTTTTAAAGCGAAAGCATTAACTGCCCCATGGAGCGAACCGGCGTTGTCAGCTTTTGAAGCCGCGCGCCAAACGGCCACCCAGATTCCCCTGTCCCAATAAAGCAAAGTCAAGGAACGAGGCTCCCATTGGCCGGCGCGCGTCATAGTTACAAGAAACGCCACCCCATGGCGCTGTGGGCCCGCACCGGCATCGCGCCGGAAAAAGGAACGCGGTGGTGCGAACTCGGCCGCTTCTACTAATCTCGACGCCGACGAACATGGCGGCGCCTCAAGCATCTACATCGTCGGCGGCCGCAACCTCGGCAGTAGCGAAACCTTCCCGTCCACGCAAGTACACCGCAGACGGACTAAGGAATTGGAATAACGCAGCACAACGAGCGAGGAGGCAGGCAGCGAAATCCACCATCGTTGTCAAGTCTCCGGCAGCGGCGCAACGCGCTAGGAGACGGAACAAAGCCTTTCGAAAGCGTGAGGCGCAAGCGGATCGCGATTCAAAGCGTCTCGGGTTGCAAGAGGACGAGGCGCTTCGACAACGCGAGGCGGAAGCAATACATCACAGGCGGCATGCTTTCTCATTCACAAGTCATAAGAAGTGCTTAGGTGCCCGGAAGTATTTTTCTTTTGCAATTACGCGGCGGAACAGCAGTTTTTCTGAGGCAGTGGCACGTTTTTTTTTGTTTTTTTTTGTTTCTTTTTTGTAACTTGTGCCCAGATAAACTATTAAAAAAATGCAAAGTGGAAATTCTTTCTAACTTAAAATTGTTGCAATGCCCCTTTAAAGCAGCGTTCCGAGTATCTCTAGGGAACAGAAAAGGCGCCCAGACCGTCTCTAGATATAGGTAATCTATACTTCATCTCGCCTTGGCATGTACCACTGCAGAGGCTACAAGCGCGAGCTAATTTCTCCAAGACACCTTGGCCGCAAAAGACACTCATAGCCAGAGTATCAATACAATACAATACAAAACAATACAATACAAAACAATACAATACAATACAAAACAATACAATACAAAACAATACAATACAATATTTTATTTCAACTCAGGATAGCTGGGGTGTGCTGGAAAGGTTAACGGCCCGTACCGAGGGGCCCAGCACACCAAGATACGGTACTTGTTCCTGTAAGATGAAGTATGAGGGGCATTGCACTTTTCAGGTTGACATCAGCAGAGGAAACGCGCGCAGACACACGTGAACGGTGGAGCAGATCAATCGGACAACTAATCCGTTATCAATCGGGGATCTAACACGAGATCAACTGAAGAACACCTAGTAATTAGAGATGGCTCATATCGAATTAGCCTAGAACAGCTGATCCGAGGTCAATTCGATAACAGTTCATCCGAGATCAATTGGATCAATTGGGAGATGGATAATTTCGAATTAGCTTAAAACGGCTAATCTGAGGTAAATCAGAAAGATGCTAATCTATGATAGATGAAATAATGTCTAATCTGAGATTTGTGAACTCCGATTAGCTTAGAACGCAGCCAATCTAAATTTGGTAACCTCACATTAGCTTAGGAACGGCTAATCAAAGATTGCTCAACAACCGATTGGTCTCCTCTCCTCGGCTGTTCTAAAAGTGCACAATGACTCATTCATCGATATCACGGAGGAACGTCGCTCTTCGCGGCACCGACGACGCCCGAGCGACGGCGTGACGGAGGTCGAGCCTCCCGAAGGACGTCCGGTCGGCGAAGGCCATGGGGCACTGGCCGCCCGTGTATGGCCGGTCGCCCGTGTGTCCCCGCAGGTGAGGTGCAGGGCCAGGCTATGCTGGCCACCATAGCAAGGCTGTCGGACTGCCGGACTGCCGGAAGTCCATGGCGCGGCACTGGTCGCACCGGAACGGCTTCTCCTCGGTTTTGGTGCGCTGGTCCGTCACCACGTGGCTGCCCTGCGTGAAGGCCCAGGGGCAGTAGACGCAGCTCTCCCGTGTGTGCGCGCTTTTGCTTGGTCAGGCTTGCCCGCAGCGTGGTGCGGCTCTCGCAGAAGCGACAGCAGAGGCGGCCTTGGGGTCCCCGGTTCTTGGAGCTGGTCCGGCGGACGTACACTGCGGCGAGACGCCACGTTGGTCTCGACACGCTGCAGCCCGATTCACCCGGGCCTAACCTAACCCAACCTTATGGAGCCTAACTAGGGCGATCAGACTTCCCGTTTTCGAGGTTCATTTACGACGTCCAGTTATTTTGTGTCGGAAAAAGCCTCAGGTCCCGTTTTCGTGGGAATGTGCATTTGAGAAATCGGTACTAAGGAAATCGAAGAAAACCGACAGAATGTTTATACCGTAGAGACGTAATTTTATAAAGAAACAAACGTACTATGAAAATGTTACCTCCCATCTTGCGCAAGTTTGAGCTCTTTTCCTTGTGACATCTGACATTAAATCTGCCAAACTTTCTTGCAGTACTGCTGAACTTGGTGTTAGTTGGGCAACAATACAACGGTGCGTAAAACTGTCGACGGAAATCACTTGTCCGACTCCGGAACAATATGAGTTTCTACGAATGATAGCAGTTTTTCTTTCACATCACTCGCACGTCCCCCCCCCCCCCCCCCCCCCCAACTCGAGTGTCCCGTTTTCTACCCCAAGGATTCTGGTCATCCTAAGCCTAACAAGATCCTAACCTAACCTAGCAAGACCTGACGCAACCGAACAAGACCTAACCTCACCCAACCTAACCTAGCAAACGACCTAGACCTAGACTAAAGACAAAGACCTAGCTAAAGACAGCCTAACCTTATTACACATAACCTTACCTCACAAGATATATTATAACATCATCCAACATAACAAGTCCTAACCTAACCAAACATAACGTCACAACAGTTGAACCTCATATTGATATAGCAAGGTATTGGTAATCAGCTTCAATACATGCACTTGAGATGTTGATACAGCAAAGATACTGACACAAATAATGAAGACTTCCGAAAAACTGCCTTTACTAAAAGAGGTTCTGCTTAAAACAGACACGAGGAAAACTAAAATCTCGGGCTGCAAACACGTCAGATACTACTTATGCGCCCTCTGTGCGATTTCTGCGCAACTGGTCAGTTCAGCTGGCTTGTTACAATGATCTCTGTGTCACACCACGCAACATAGGTTCCATGTCAGAAATATCCGCAAGTACTGTTCAAATAGAAATGTCCTTAATTAAAACTACCAAATGCTGCAGACTAAACTTGGATTGAGCGCGTTGGTAATAAATTCAAAAATATACGAAAGAATCAGACGAGTCAGACGAACAACTCTGTTGCTCAGCATGAGTGCATCAGGTCTCGGCAAAGGTAGGGTGACCAGACGTCCAGTTTTACACGTTCATTTACACCGTCCCGTCATTTTGCCTCGAAAAAGCCTCCCCGTTTTTGTGGGAACGTGCAGTTGAGAAATCAGTAATCGTGTCGTTTCACAACCGAGACTGGTATGACGTCACGCTCCGGGAAGGAGGGGCTTCAGCGGTACTTTGAAAATGATTTTCTGCAGCATCTGGGCACAAAATTTAAAATCAAATTAATCTCGATATTCGTGTTTCTGGAGCTCGAATAAAGACGGTTTAAGTGGTTTTCCTCAATCACAAAACCGCTTCAGTTTCCCTTTAAGTTTATTATAACGATAGCTGAAACAAAAACGTATTCCCCTTCTAGATCATATTATAATTCGACATATATTGAGGCCACTACTTTTTCAAATCTGAAAAATAACTTTATGGTTCATGTGAACCCAAAATAGTAGGAATAGGCACCGTACCAATCGAGTTAGTGAAACAACATAAAACGCTTCGAATAATTTTTTCTGAACACCTTTTTTGGAACGATCATGCCAATTATCTTGTTACGAAGCTGTCTAGGGTGGTTGGAGTTATGTCACACTGCCGCAATATTTTCCCAGTTAACGTTAAATTTCAAATCTACTATTCACTATTTCAGTCTTACATTAATTATTGCCATCTTGTTTGAGGGACAACTACACAAACAAACATAGAAAAACTTACTTTACTTCAAAAAAAGAGGCTTCGTTATATTGCCAATGAGCATTATCTCGCTCACACCAAATCTTTGCTTGTCAAATATAAAATTATTAATCTTGATAAGATGTATGCAGATTACTGCACAGCTCTCGTTTTTCATCTCCTGATTATGCTTCGCTTTTATGCAAGATGTCGGAGCTCTCCGAATATCCTCGTAATTTCAACACCCGTCTTTCCGAAAAAAGGACAGTACCACGAGCTCGTACTAACTATACTTACCAGTCAACTACCATATCGTCTACCTTTATTAATCATCTTCTTAATAATAATACTAATATATATCAAATGGGGAGGAAATCCTTACTTATGCATTTCTTGTGAATTGTTCCGTGAAATTTCTTGGGCATACCCATACCTTTGTATACATTTTGCATTTCGTACAGTGCTGTTAGAAGTTATGCGTATGTGCGCCTTGTGTTGTTTTGCGTAATTTTCTTCTATATGTAGCTGTATATATTTTCAATCTGTCACAAGTTCTGCGAATATATTTTTTTTTTCTTTTTGTAGAATGCTGTTAGAAGTTGTATGCATGAAGTGATTACTCAGCGTATCTTTCCTTTACATGTAATATCCTTTTGTGTTCTGAATGGATGTCCTGTTGACAAATTTGAGACGGGCCCCAGACTTCGTCAAGCTGCCAGTGGCAGCTTTTTGTCTAGGGTCCCGGTTGGCTTAAAGGCCATAAATAAAACGATTGATTGATTGATTGATACTGTCAGTGTTTGTCGTACCGAAAACTACAGGAAACCAAAAAAATTACTCAAGCGCAAATTGCACAATTTTGGGGGGAAATTGAATAAACATTTATTGCGACACAGTATGGATAAAAAAAAAAAAGAAGCACGACAACAGAACACATTTTTATCTACAATAGTCTACCAGAAGCGACATCTTGTCGCCGGGTTCATGCCAGTGCCTTGGCTGCAGCCGAAGGTTTTCTCGAACTCCGGGTCGTCCATGAGGGCCCAGTTGACGCTCATCGGAGCGGAGGCGCCACTCGTCGCCGTGCCCGACTTGCCTCCAGCGCGGCACATGCTGGCCGTGTAGTACACGTAGAACAGTTGGTTGGTCGAGATCCCTTCCGCGTTCTGGAATCGATAGTCCGTCCGGTGCCTGCTCCGGGACATGATGTACATCTTGTAGAGCTTCAGCACGGGTCTGATGGCTGCCGTCTCGGTGACGTCCCGGAGCAGAGCTTGCTGCCTGAGGCGGCTGCGGTCGTCCGAGCCGGCGGTCCACTCCGCGTGCCGAGCACGGAAGCAGTCTTCCCTGGCCCGGTAGTTCTGCCTGGAAGGCTGCGACCAGCGAGTCGCGCGGTCGTCGCCATTCGCCGCGCCCTGAAGCGCCGCGCGCAACAGGCAGCCCACGAGACGAGCCCCGATGCGAGGAATCTGGAAGAGCAGAAAAAACTGCGTCGTTCGACCCGTGACGTTGAGCAGGGAGATGGGGAAGTAGACATTGTTAGACTCCAGGAAGCAGCTGGTGTCGAAGACGCTGCCTCTCCACACATCGTTCCTGTCCCACGGTTCGCTGAGGGACGAGTGGAACTCATACTCTCGCATGGCCTGGTAGGACAGAAGGGCTTGGCCGGGACTCACGCCCGGAAGGCCGGCAAACATTTCACGAGCCAGTTGAGCGTTGCTCATCCAGTGGGGAAAGAAGGCCTGGATTTGAGTCTCTGTTAGTCGTCGAAGAACTTGAGATTTCGTGTGCACGTCCATCCACGAGACCTTCGCAATGGCGGTCATCAACTCGTGCTTCAGGTCATCTATGATGTTTCGGATGGACAGGTTTTCCAAGGTTGACCTGAATTTGAGATAGGCTGCATAATGTACCATGCTGGGAAGCGCTTGCTCTACCGTGTGCAAGCAGACGCGTGCCCGACTTTTCCTTTTGCTTCCCTCGGATAGAATGAAGCCTCTCAGGTGATCGGTGAGGACATGCCCCAAATAGTTCAGCGAGATGTGTGGTGGCGTAATTCGTATCACTTCTATGAGATTCGAAACATAGTCAGAGGACTGCAGCAACACCACGGGATCTGACGATAAATTGAGCAGTGAACTGCCCATGGCTTCGACCACAAAGGGTTGGAAAAGGTTCAAGTCTCCCAGGCTCCGAACCTCCTCGCCATCTTTGGACGACGCCGGCCCCGTCAGGCGGGCTACGTAGTGCATGAACTCTAACACTTCTTCAGCCAATTCCAGTGGCACGTCGGTGTTAACTACGCGCATTCTATTCAGCAAGTCCCAAGAGCGCTGACTGACGCTCACATTGTCGCGGAAATTTTCAAGATTTCCGAAGCCGTTGGTCTTGTCCAACACAACCACTGCGTCGGAGGTTCGGGAGACCTTCGTCAGTCGAACAGTGAGGAATGTTGGTAGGCCAAAGTACCTGAGAATTTTTGCGGAAGCACTCCAAACGTCAGTCAAACTTTTGTTCCTATCTGATTCTAATGGCCAACCGGACAAACCGGTTTTCTTTAACATTGCGCGCAAGGGTTGTAATTGAAGCGCTTGTATCGCACTCAGGTCCACGCATTCGCGAAAAAGCTTTTTTGCTGGTGTAATTAAACTGTCATCGTCGGTGCTGCCCTCGGTTAAGTATTTGAGTATGGTATTTTCAATATCTCCGACGACAACCTGGTCAGCTGATATGGCGGACGCTTGGGCAGCCCAATCCGAGCAAACGAAGCTGTAAAAGTCATTGCAAGGATTAACTGTCCAGTTTAGAGTCTGACTTACAAACATTCCTTCAGCCCGACACTCTGGTGTTCTGCAGAGGCCAAACGTATCCTCGTTTGACCCTTTCGCACTACCGTTGAAATTAAAGGTGCGCAGGAAGTATTTGAGCCACGGACTGTTCATCGTCTGGTTGTACTCACTGTCGTAGTCTCCGAAGATGGACATAAACTGCTTCTTCCCGTACACGCTCACAAAAGCCATGAAACCGAGTAGCGTTGCGACAAGCAGCAAGAATGCAACAATAACGTGCGTCTGATAACTAGTCCTTCGCCCTTCACGCATCGCCTCGTAGCGAGCTTGGTTGGCCATCCATTGGTCGTAGGTGTGGACGGTCTGGCCCAAGTTCAACTTGCTGGATTTTGCTTCCAAGTCGCGAGCGTGAAGCGCCCTTCGATTGAGAAAGGCGGGCTTCGTGGCCAGCACGTTGGTCGCGGCTACAATGGGGAGCTGCATCGGTGGTGGAGCAGCTGTTGCGAAGGTGGCGGTGCCGCTTGCAGTGAGGACCCGTTCACCGGTCGATGTGCTCTGTTCAACCTCTCCTTCGCTATCGGAGCTGTCTGTGTAGAACTCCTCGCTGTACGTCCGAGAATGGTGTGTTAAAACAGGAGCAGACGCCGTGAACGTCGACATCGGATGTAGCAGCGGAGAGATCGTACCGGTTGTGTAACTAGGGTAAGCACCGTGGGCAGGTTGAAGCAGGCCGCAGCGCACGCTATGTGGGTTACTGTATACCGTATACTCGGGAGAGGGCACCAATATTGGCGCTGGTTGTGACGCGGCTAAGAGCGACGGCTGCAACTTTAGTGCCGCCACTGGTGGCTGCTGCAATAGAGGTTCTTGTTGCTGCAGTAGCTCTTCGTGTTGCTGCATGAAGAATTGAGGCGGTGGTTGATTAACAATGACAGGTGTCTCATTTACGTGAATTGAGTGAGAATCTGGATACGTCTGGTCCTCTATTACAATTTGTACGTGTTGTTCTCCGCAGTTTGATGTATCCCTGTAGTCATGCGCTGGCAAGGCGAACTGCGGAAAGGATGCTTGGTGCTTATGTTCAGGGGCCATCTGGAAATGCACTGACGCGCACTGGGTGCGGTCGCTAACCAAAGTCTGCACATTAACCTCTCGTGGAGCATGATGTAACATTGCTGGCGACATGGAAGGAAGCTGAGATGGGATACTTTTCGATTCCGCAAATTCGACAAGTGAAGAGTATGAAACGGTGCTCTCTCCCGATGAAGACAGTGACCCCTGGCCAAGTGCATGGTCGTAACTTGCTTGTGCAGGCGCTTGAAATTGCGGTGGGGTTGTAGACTGTATTTGAGATGCTTGTAAGCATGGCTGCACAAGTACAGAAGATAATGGTTGGGAGTTCTTTTGGGGCTCCGCTTCATTCGTAATAGAAACTAGAATCTCCTCTTCGGTCGGAAAATCGATGAACGTTTGTCCAGATATAGGGGCTCCGGAGGGTATTGGAGCCGTGTCTTGAGTCAGACATCCCACATTCGCTGATTCTCTCGGGGTGGGAGCAATGACTCGCGCCATAGGTGGATCTGTCTCAAAAGATTGCACGGTCACGCGGGTATGAGAAGATACACGTTCTGCCACGCGCACATCGCGGTAGTCACTGTAGCCTGCAGTGTACCTTGAGAATCGACCAGGGCTTCGCTCGCATGACCTGGTCGCTCGTGCAAGGTCGTAATATTCGGAACGCCAGCATCGAGGCAGATTGTATTTCTTATGCCTGCGCCTACCCTTGTGGTGCTTTCTTTTTTTCCCGTGGTCATCGTCCCTCTGGTCGTGGGAGCTCTTGTCTTCGCAGCGTGCCTCTTCGTCGACACCCCTGTCCAGACCTCCGTCGTCCTCTCTGTCCTCGGCACGATCGTCGCCCCTGTCGTCAATCCTGTCTTCATGTTCCAGCCTCAGGCCGACGTCATACCGCCGGTAGTCGTCCCAGTCCCCCACGTGGTCGTACCAACCATCGTGGTTTGGATCTAGGAGGTACTTCTGATATATTTTGGTGCCAACAGCGGCACGCCCTGCCGTGGATACAGTTTCTTCCGAAGCCCTACCGACTATGACGAGCTTCTGTGTCTCCTGGGGCTTCTGCCCCTTAGAAGTAATATGTGTTACAAATTCGAACTCTTTCGAGAATCTTTCACCACTCGATTTAGTTGATGTGCGACTCCTGCATTTTTTCTCGCCTCGAGAACGACGCCCTCGTGGCCTGGTTCCCCTTGAATAACGGCTGATTGTCGAAACGCTTGATATCGATGAACTGTTTCCCCTCGACGACCTTGAACCACTCGAGGACGTAGTAGAACTGACCCACTTGGATGTACTAGCCCTTGTGGATGATGATGAAGGTACTCTTCGCGATTTTGATGATCTGCGACGCGCCGAACGCTTTGGAGATCTTGTTTTTCTCCGTCTCGAGTGAGAGCGAGCGTGTTTTCCCCTTTTTCTTGAAGGCTCCCGCTGGGACGCCTCTCCCGATTCGATGAGCCCCAGCCAAGAACACAAGGCAGTCAAGCCGTGCTCCCTGGACTTTGATCTGTTGGCTGGAGAGGTCTTTCTCTTTGAACGACGTGTAGCCGTTCTGAATGGTGGCTCCGGTGGTATCCTGAACTCGTCCGCGACGTTTTCGAGCATACGACAGCACTGCTCCAACGCGTTTGCAACGCTGGTTACGGGCACAATGTCGCGAGGCTCCATGTACGGACTCCGAAGCGGTTCTATAAACGGGTTGTCCGTGTCAAAACCTCCACGGCGATGAGCAAAAACGCTTGTGGTCGATGCTACACTCATTTGTGGCGCTGCCTCGTAAGGAACGTCGCCCATGCTTCTCCGTCTTCGTCTAGAACGTCGCCTTCGCGCCCTCCAAGATCGACGTTCTTCGCGTCGTCTCTTTCTTTGGTCTCTGTGCTCTCGTCTGTTGGCCCTCTTGAGCTCCCGTTCTGTTCTGTCTCGCACCATCTCGCTCAGTTGATTGAGCAGTTTTGTTTCGTACCTGAAGTCCGCCTCTGCACCTGGCTGCTCACTCGGCGTCAATGACCCCTTTAAAACATGATTGATCGGGGTCAAGGACGGTTTCTGTTTCGGAAGACTGATGTCAACCTTAGTGTCCATTCTGGGCGCACCGTCGGGACCTTCCACTTTTCTTGTGGTCGTACGAATGACTCGCGTGTCTGGACTCAGGGACAGACCCCTTGCGCCCGGAATAAGTGCCCTGGACCTCCTGAAAGACCTGCTCCGCCCTCCGCCAGGCTCCGCGTACCTCCGAATGATGTTGTCTTGAGATGTTGTGTACAGCTGCTGCCCGCCATCCGGCGAGAAGTGTTCAGCGATCCCTTGACGCGTTATGGCTTCTATTCCCCGTCGAGGAGTGGGAGGCGGCTCCTCTTCTGGAGGGATCATTTCGATTTCTGTTTTAGTCCTGATCTTAATCTGAGCACCTCCCGGCCCGCCTTGAACAATCTGCTCAGTCGTCCCCGGCTCGAGCACCATTCGCTGCTGCCCGTCAGGGAGCTGCAAGGCCGAATGAGGCAAGGCCTGCCACAGCAGTTCTTGACCCCCAGTCATAGGTTGCCCCGTTGCTCCGGCAGTAAGCAACGGCTCAAGAGTCACCGGCTCCTGGGACGACAACCTGTTCAACGTCTCCGGACTGGGCGCCGCAGCAACCGGCTCGGGTTTTACAGACGGCTGGAGCACTGGAGCAGGTGCCGGAGGCACTGGTGTTTGAGGAACCTCCGGAGACTCTTTTTTTTTCTTTTTCTTTTTCTTTTTCTTGCTCTTTTTCTTTTTGCTACCTTTTTTCTTCTCGCTCTTCTTGCTCTTTTTTTTCTTGCTCACCTTTTTCTTCTCTTTCTTGTCGTCGCCGCCCTCGTCCTCATCGTCCCGCTTGATGGGCTTGCCCAACTCGAAGCGATACTTTTTCCGGGGGCGTTTCCTCTTCTTTTTTTTCTTCTTCTTGCGCTTCTTCCGCTTCAAGACCTCCTGGTGCACGGTCTCCGGTAGTTCGGCCTGCTGCTTGGTCTCCGGCTTACGCTGCAGGTTGACGACCTCGTCCGAGGGCTTCCTCTTGTCGAACTCCTGCACACGGACGTCTTTCTCGAATGAGAGCCTCTTGTCCTTCTTGATGATCTCCTCGCCCCAGTCCAGGTCGGACGGGGTATCTCCCACAGCGATGTCCCACCGGTAGTGGTAGCCCTTCTCGTCGGTCACCACAGGCCTCGGCGTCATGGGTGTCGGCTCGGCCGCCGCGGCCGCTGGAGCAGGCGGCGGGGCCGCCATGTCGCCTTTGGGTGGCTATGCCTGCCGGAGACTCACCCGCGCTGCGTCGGCTGGCAATCTCCTACTCGAGGACGGGGCCTCATGACGAGAGCCGGTTGACTACGCTAAAGTGCCCACCGGCGTCCATTAATTTCTCCTCGGGCGGGAGGGCGGTTCCTCGCACTTCTTTTTCTTCTCTTCTTGAACACACACCGGACTAGCACGAACAGATAACCTCCCCATTAAACATAAAGCAGCGTCGATGCGTCTTAATCGCACTACAAAACTGAAATCGTCGGGCAGCAAGCGCACAAATAGGTCCTTGGGCAAGCGACAAACAGCCAAATGGGTCCGTCATTTGAATCGACCGAGGAGAATCGGCTTCAGGACGTGTCCCTCCACGTCGTCCTATTTCCCATCTGTCACTTGCTCCCACACCAAATAATGTACTAGGGGAATACAGGACACTTCCCTACATTACATCAAAAAAGTGGACAACGAGGACCCGCGGAAACACGCGGGACGGCATGAGCTGTACCGTCTTAGCATCCGCGATCCCATCGACCGCACCACATTCCGAGGCGTCGCCTTCGCGTGCTCTGGTGCCGGGAGGAGGGGAGTTGGGGAAGGAGCAACACCGCAGAAGACAAGGCCGCAGTGCTGACAGTTCTGCGTCACCAGCGAAGGCCAACGCTGGACACAGATTGGAAACGAGTGCTGCGTCAGCGCTCGGCTTCGAGTCAAGTTTGTGCTGAACGTTGACGCAATCGTTGTGTCTAATCTGTGCCCAGCATTGGCCTTCTTTGATGACGCCATCTCTATCAACACTACGGCTTTCTTATCTAGAATCGCTAATTTCGTCAAACACCAAATTGGGGCCGAAGTTCGCAGAGCGTGCTGAATGGACTCTCGTGGCGATGGCATCACGCGGGACTAGATGTCAATCATCCAAACCACTGATCTCCGTTTTAGTTGGCTGGATTGCGGATCGAGAGCCCGTAGGTGTCGCCACCGGCGGCCATTGCTTGACACCAGGCAATACACGCAGGTCTATGGGAGAAACGCACAAAAGTAAGCATATTGAAGCATGTACGCTCTGCTCGGAGGTGAGTATTTTAAGGTGCGCTGCAATCCTTATGTCGGGTGTTTGGAGATCGAATCGGTATTTGTCAAACGTCCGGTCGCCGAATAAAAAAATCAAACGTACCGGAGCACCTTCGGCTGAGTTGGCAAGCTTGCTCTCGTAGTGAAGTAAACAAAGGAACTTGCCGTCAATAAGACCGTCCTTAGGGAAGCACAGAAGTCGATAAATGACAAAGAAGTTCCATCTCGACAGTGGCTTTCCGGGAGTGAGCGAATTCCGCGTAGCAAAGCCTTCGAGCTTGTCTGCTAAACCTAACTCAACGAAACCGCCACCGACTCCGCGGTAACTCTAGGTAACTCTCGCCTCATTGAGCTGCACTACAGCGGAGTCACTCTCGACCACAAAATATTTATTTATAAGAACTGCGAGGGTTGTCTGTTCTAATGTTTGTACGCCAGCTATTTGACGGACTTATAAAAAAGCATCCAAAACGTTTCAGTGTCGACAACAGCTTAGAAACAGCGAGAACGTCTCTCTTTCTCCTTCTTGCCATAGAGTCCCGTGCATTGGCTGGTGTCAATCAATGGCCGCCGGTGGCGACACTCGGCCCCAGCGGCCGAGGCCGCGGTCCGCGCCAGCCTAGTACAATAGAGATCAGTGATCCAAACTCTCTCGCTGCTCAAATTTCAGCGAGATTGTGAAAGACGAA